TGTGACATAGAAGATGCAGGTGGGAGAGATGAATCAGGCCATTTGCTTTCTTTATGTGACTTTGCATTATTCCCTATGGAAGTGTGTCTTTGAAGCAGATACTGTTGGCTTTGAAAGAAGTCAGACACCATTTGAGTCACACGATTTTGAGCTGGACTGTAAATCTAGGTTAAGGCTATATATTCAAGGCATTCAAATGTCAAGATTTCAAAGATATAAACCACTTACTTGTGAAAACAAATTCTAGTCAACACCTCCACCGCTTTGTCCTCCCCTCCACCCCTTTCTTTCATCAAGTCATAAAGTGACACTATGCTCAGGGTTGTGTTGTATTATAATTTATCTATTTCATTTCATTTAGCAAACACTCTAATAACATAAGTCGTAAGCAGAAACAGTCTGCTTCCATAGACATAGAGACCAAGATTGACTTGTCCTGTTCTAAGGTTTCTACTATGGGGCCTAACACTGACCTCATAATTTATGTAACAAATTAACAAATATCGATTACACGACTGGATAGTTTACATTGGCTTACCTTACAGAAACAGAATGTCACAGCGTTAAACGTGCAGGTAATGGTGGACCACGGCTTGGTTTTGACTTCCAACTCTGACATTTATTAATGATTCTGTCCTCAGATGTTTAGTTGGTCTGAGCCTCAGTTTCCTTATTTGCCAAATGGAAGAAGCAACAACATTGTCTCTATGGTGTCTGTTTTCATGATTACATGATCTAGGATAAAGCACTTAAACCGGTAACAAGGGACAAAGCTGTTAATAGCTATATTATTGTGATTGATATTATTATTATTACTTTGCCTTCCATATGTACCTAAAAACAAGCATTTGAGAAACTTATATACTGAGTGTCTACTGTATTTGTAAATTTGCTATCCTATTTCTTCATCCACTGGAAAAATTGAGTAGCTCAATGGAAAAATCTCTAGAAAGTTAACCAATTTCTATTCTGTTTGTAGACTTGGATATATATTATCTTTGCAGCTCTCATGAATACACTATAAACATTTCCATGATACATACTTTGGTTTTTATGGAGCTTTCTTATAGAGATCATAAACCAAAAAGCCCGGAGTGAACACTGAAGAGTTTAAACCTAGCAGTTGAAACCCCCAAAGAAAAATAGAACTTGCCTGAATTCTTCGTACTCTCGCCTCTGCATATAACGCTGAATTCTGGAACTGGGAATTTCATCATAGATTACAGCCATCCTTTTTCTTATATTTGCCATCTAGAGGGGTTCATTTTGTGCTGAGAGTTATTCTGTTTTCCCTTCAGCATAACTGGAAGACTTCCCTAGGACTTATAATGTGTGCTAATATATTGGTACTTTAGGCATTTTTTTTTTAAAAAGCCTCAGCAGTTCTCAGGTGGTTAAAAAAAAAAAAACATATGCAGACTCAGATGCCATTTACATTCTGGCTAATCCCTTTAAATAACGAAGTCAAACCACTGGCAGTTAAACTAAGGTTTTAATTTTAGTTGGCAAACTGTATGCTTCATGAAATATCACTATATTTTTGAAAGGTTCTAGCTTTAATCTTCAAGATCGTGAGGAATGTTCTATTAGAAAAGGTGACTTTTTTGGTATGAAACTCTTTAGAAAAGACTGAGGTCACATGTTATGAAAATTTTAAATTGTATGATGTAAAATTATGAACAGTTTTGATACAATATGGATTTGCACAATTTTAATTTTTCATCAAATTATCACATTTTGGGTTTCAAAAATGCTGTTTTTCTGTTGCCACATGGAGGCACCACTTCAGCTGATAAGCAGAGATTTCTGACTTCCGTTGTCAGCAAGGGTCTTCAACTGTGTAAAGCCTCCAGAAAGTGATTTTGTCCTAAGCCCACCAGTCTTTTTATTTGCCTGAATAACCGTTTGGTTTGTGTACTGTCTCCTACATTTTAGCAAGTACGGTGTTTTTATAAAGTCATTTTACTCCCTAAGGTTTTGGATAGAGTTTTATGTTTTTTTTCCTGTGTGTGTGTGTGTGTGTGTGTGTGTGTAGACCAGAGGTTAACTTCCGGTATTGTTCGTATTGTTCTTCAAACTGAGTTCATCTGTCGGTATATTCTTTTTTTTTTATTTGTTTGTTTTGTTTTGTAAGACAGTGTGTCTCATTACCCCAAAACTTGCCAAGTAGGCCAGAGAGGCCCTGGATGCCCTCATCTCTGCTGTCTGTCTTAGCATTTTAATTGCTAGTAGGCACTACTACGCCCAGCTAACATAGTCCTGGGAACCCACCTCAGGTCTTCATAATTGCAAAGTAGGCACTTTATTGATTGAGCTTGTCTCCCCAGCTCAAATATTTTTTTGCCTTTTATGGAGGATATTCAAAACCTCTAGACAGCTTGAGAGTCATGAGATGTCCAAGGCTACCTCCTCACACTCTGTGGTGTTATTAACACATCAAGAAACTGAGTTGATGAAGTAAGTGGCCTAGGATAACTGGGCTCGGTAGTACAGGGAAGGTTGAGTAGTGACTTAGATATTTCTTCTGAGCCAAGCAGTGTTGGGATTTGAAGGCGCTAACCACATTTTCAGGAGCTGAGTGTACAAGGATATAGCATGTGGGATCCAAACCTTTCTCTAATCAAGGGACTTAAACACTAAGGACAACTTTTAAATCAAGTATCGGTGGTTGATTCCTTTAATAGTCCTCTTTGGTACACAGCCTGAAACTTTGCCTCTTCCTTTTTGTTTTTGGTTTGAAGTAGAAGGAACATTTTTCATGGAAATAATACAAGAATGTAACCTGTCAATCCTTATGTCTCAGATTCTATAAACTTTCATAAATTACAAAAGAAAAACAGTTACCATTGCTTTAACAAAAGAGGAAGAAATATTTACTTGTTTGATCTTTGATAGCGAGCTTATTGAGTAACAAACTACATTAAACAGGAATCAATGAGCTAATAAGTTGTGCCCACTTTATGTTAATAAACTTGAATTTGCCTCACTTGTATCTCAGAAACAATCCATTTGCTAATTTAATCAGTCAGGAGAAACTTTTTCTAATTGGTAAGCAATTTCTTTTAATTGCAAAGTGTTGGAGAGTTACCTTGCAGTAATTTTTCACAAGTACATAGACATTGGTAAGGTACATGAATAGTAAAGTCCTTTTTGGAGTATTCATGACTAACATCATATTAGAGAGACCCCTTGGACAGTTGAGTCTTTCTGAGGCAGAGGTTCTTAGACTCCCAGGGGACATTCGAGAAGCAGTTTGCAATCTATATCCCTTAGGTAGGTAATCCTGAATGACTAGATTAGATTCCCGAAGGGCAGTGGAATATGTTGACCTCTTTGAGGGTCAGGTGCTCTTTTGGCTTGCTAAACTGTATTTCCTACTCCTGGGGAAACAATCTAACCCCTAAAGCTCCAACTCCTTAACTGCACAATAGCCAGATACAAATGAAAAATAAAAAAGCAAGAACAAAGATGCTTAGAAACAGCAGAAAAAGGAAACTGGAACAGAATGTGGCATTTCCCTTGGTCTGTTACTGACGGCCCACATACAACATGCTTAAAAATACCCACCCTGGCACCTATTTCTATCATCAGTTACGATGATGCAAGTGGACATGTAGAATACGGGGGTATTCAGCAAGCCCTTCATCTAGGGATAGAGGGAATAGCACTTCCTCAAGCAAAGCTGTTCTCTCTGTGGCTGCCAGATTAAAGTTCATTGTTGAATAATTGGGGTCCTTTTACTGACTACATTTTGAAATAATAACTTTTTCCAGTATCCCAAAGCCAATAACATTTCTCTCTGTCTCTGTCTCTCTCTCTCTGTCTGTCTCTCTCCTATCTATCTATCTATCTATCTATCTATCTATCTATCTATCTATCTATCTATCTATCTATCTAT